AAAGCCAGTTATTAAAACTATAATCATTTAAAATAATATTTTTACTATTCCATCAACCATGGTGATAGGAGTTTTAAAATTTTTTAAAAAGTGAAAAATCCAGATAGCTAAAATGTAAGAAAACTGTTCACACTTTAGGACTTTTACCAAATTAGTGTCTAACACGTTTTCTAAACTCAAAATTATGCAAGCCTGCATCCAAAAGAGAAGTCATTTCTCCAGCATTTATTTTTCTCTTATCATTTGTTTATAACAGTCATTTGACATGTCCTATAAACAGATATGATACATACCCGGAGAATATTTTTCTGTAGAAACAGTAAATTATTATAGTGCATAGCTCTGCTTTAAATATTGTTTTCATTAAATTAATAGGGCAATATGTTATGTTAATTACTAGCATAAAAGCATAGAAACAAACTGCTTTTTATGTTTTTCTAGCTTAAAGTACACTATTGCTTGACTTTTGTCTCATTTACTCCTTGCTTATTTTATTAAACAAATTCTCCTTCCTTATTCTTATTTTTTAACTAAATTCCACCCCCCTACACACACACAAAAGTGTAACAAAGTCAATAGACTAGTTGTATAGTGGTGAGAAAATCAACAAGGATCTCCTTCAGAGCAAGGCTAAAGGGAAACAATTTGTAGTAGTTAAGATTTATTCCCCTATCCTCCCCTCTAAATATTACATTGCTCAACAAAGAATTCTTGTTTAATTTCACTGCAAAGTATGTAGTAGGGCCATGTTTAAAATACTACAGATTTAAAGGTACATAGGTTAGCTTTGCTAGCTGGGAGTGAGCACAGGAAAATGATAATTTCTAATTTGTTACACTGACATCTTATATATACAGAGGAAAAATATTAAGAGTACCAGCATTAAAACAACAAAAAGTCAGTGCTGGGGCAATTTCTTAACATACTGATAATTGCTGTCCTCAATATGAATCAACAAGGATCTAGAATTCTTAGCTGAATACTCTTCGTTATCATTATTATTAATACTCTTCTTCCACTCCTTTTTCAATCATTATTGGGGCAAAGTTTTAGCTTGCTGTTTTAAAGTTTCAGAGTCTGAGCTTAAAATGAACATTTTTGCCCATCTGGATTGAACAGGGAGCCATGGCTCCCAAATTTCATTTCATAAACCACACCAAACTATTGCTGCTAAAAGAGATTCCTAGTTGTGACAAAAATAACAACTGAAATCTTGTATCAGGTTTTTTAAAAAACATTCTTATAAAGAAACTTGTAATTCAGAAAGAATTCAAAACAGAAAAATATAACAAGGTAAAGAAAATGAATCCACAGATGTCTAAGGCTACTCCGTTTTGTTTTTCTGGGCTCACTACTGTGTTCTCTATGAGGGTTGTAGGCTGGTCGAGTGCTGCCGGGACCACCCTAAGAACTTCCAGCAGTGGTAAGTGCGACGGAGCCCCCGCCCGGGATGGGGTGGTGTGAGACGCTGTAACAGCCAGGCGGGCCACAAGCACCCGTGGCGTGGGGCGAAGGGCAATTGTGGAGGCAGGGCTGCCCTCACACCCTAGCCCTTGCTTTGGGGAAGGACGTGCAGGAAGGGAAGGACGCCACCACCCAGAGCAAGGAAACGAGGAATTGTGGCAGCAGCTTGAGAGGATTTTCACGGAGAAAGAACTGAAAGCTGTTCAGGTTGGCTGGAACCGGGGAAGAGCCAGGGGTGGCCCGATGTAAAAGATACAGCCCTAGACGAAAGCGGAAACAGCATTAGGAGGACATTATAAAGAGAATTTTAGGAGAAAGGACTTTATCCCGAGGGCGACAAGAAGCCCTTAAAATTTTTGAAACGAGAGCAACACGATCGAATTCAAATTAAAGCATTTATGTGGTTGTGCAGTCGGGGTGGGGGAGGGGCAAAGGCGGAGCCAGAGATCACCTGCAGTGACCCAGGTGAGACGCTCGGCCTACACCGGGGCAAGCAGGTGGCAGGAGTGAAAACCAGACAACACGAAATAGGGGTGCGAAACGGATTGAGGGCCTGATGGTCGGGCTATACTAATCCTGTCGCAGAGATGGGAAACATGAGAAGTTTGCAGGATAGGTCTGGAGCTCCGTGTGGAATGTGTTGTAAGGTTTTTTTCAGGACAGGGGTAGTCTGGGAGTAAGATGGTGTTCTTGGACCGGACAGGACCACAAAGAGCACGCACAGAGAATATGACCCAGATAACTCTCCAGGGAACTCCATCCGTGCGCCTGACAGTGCTTGTATTTGTCTTTTCTCCAAATGTACACCGAATCTCAAAACATGCTGCGTGGCGGTTAGGGAATATGACGACACGGGCAGAAAAAATAACACTTCAGGATAGGCAGTAGTTACTACACTGTTTCGCCAATTTACCCTCCGCTACCTACAGATTAACTCAGTGCCAATGTGGAACACATTTTCTCTCAAATTTGTAGCAGGATCACAGAAATGGATTTTGCTTTTTGTTCCTTTCTCCCAACCCTTACAAAATATTAAATGATCAACTTTCCATTTTATTAAGTATCACCGTGTAAAATACGCAGTCACTTTAAAAAACTGAAAGGAGGGTCGAGGATTTAGCTCAGTGGTTCCAGCGCCGGCCTCGCAAGCGCCAGGTCCCGAGTTCGATTCCCGGTACCAAAAAAAAAAAAAAAAAAAATGAAAGGAGTAAAATCTCACTCCATCATTAAGTACGCAAGTTTTAATAATTCTTTGTCCGGCATGAACACACACACTGTCAGCTTCTGGCTGTTCGCTTGTTAAGCCAGCCCATCCATCCCCGGTTTTCCAGTATCCAGCACCGGCTACCCCGCTCCCGCCCACTCCGGACGCACCACCTGCTCCGGCGCCTCCCCCTCCCCGCCCCCAGCCCCCTGGCCCCCGCCCGCGCGCGCACGCGCGCGCGCGGGTTCTCACGCACGGTCTGCTACCCTCCTCGCCTCTCCCGCCCCTCCCACTCGGCGAGAGCTGTGGAGCCGCAGCAGCCAGCCCGCCCCGCGCCTAGCTCCCCAGCCCGGCGGGCGATCCGCTTCCTTCAGACTGCTTCTCGCCCGGGCGCCCCCTACGAAGTTCTCCCTCCCTCACCACCCCCTGCGAGGACCTCAGGGGGCGGTCCCGGTATGCCCGGCGCTGATTGGCTACTCGTAAAGAGCCCCGCCCTCTGGGCACGCGCAGGAGGTGGGGCGGGCTCGAGAAGGCCGCGCGGTGCGCGGCCCCGCGGGCTTAGCCTTCGTGACCCGCGTGCTGGCTCTGGCGTCCGGGCTCCCGGGCGTCCGCGAGGTGGGGATGGTGACGACCGTGACTGGGCAGCCACAGGCTGGGGGTGGGGGCTCACGTGCCTCGAAGGACCTCTCCTGCCCTGCTGCGCTCCCAAGCCGCGGCGAGCCGGGCATTCTTCGGGGACTAGAAACTGACCGAGGGGCTGTCGCTGTCGCCAGCCCGGTAGCCCGGATGTCAGTGCCCCCCGGAGGCTCGTCTTAAAGGGACAGCGCGCGTTCGAGCCGGAGGGGGCGGCGCGTCCTGCCCTCCGTGCGCGACCCCTGCCCCGAGGGGACGCTGTGGCGCCCGCCGCCCAAGCCCGCCCTCTCGGCCGGCCGCAGCGGGAGCGCGGCGCCCCGCCCCGGGGTGGCCGCAGATGGCCGCCCGGAGGCCAGGCTCTGCTTCGGTCGGAGCGGTGGCCGGTGGCGCCGCGCGGGGCCAGGAGGCGCCGGCCTGTGATTGGCGGAGGCCGTCGTGAATGCAGGACATTGTCTGGTGGCGGCCGTCTCTGTCCCTGCCTGGCCGCCCTTCCCCGGATGGAAGTGGGTGCGGGGCGAGGGTCCGGGTCGGCGATCGCCGCCCGCCAGGAGTCCTAGGAATGTGGGAACGCAGTGGTCTGAAGGGGTAACTTTTGCGAGCACAGATTGTGAGAATGGTGTTTAAAGATGCTGTTTAATAAATACAAAACAGTCTTTAACGAGGAAATAAAATTATTGTTTGACATAAAGGTTTCCCTTAAAATGAACAATATTGAAAGAATCAAAGAGACAAATTATAAAAACAGCTTATAAAAACGTCAAGAGTCCTTTAATTAGGATCTAAATTAATCTCTTTTGTAACATTTTAGGCAAAATTAACTGGTGTTAACACAGCTGTAGATCTTGTCCTAGTTCAACCTTTCTGGGTCTTGTTTTTCGCGTGTGTGAAATGAAGACCACTAGACCAGATAGCTAACTTTGCTTCCATTGTGACAATATTCTGATTCTAGTTTTGCAATCTTAGTATATGCTGTGTATTTAGATCATACCTCAAGGCCTTGGAATAGCTGAGACCTTTTAAAGAGCCCTTGAGCAGAGTGTAGTTCTTCCGGATTATCTTTGAAAATATATGGAGGTTGTAATCTTTTAGTGTAATTTGGAGTAAAGGAAAATTAGAGAAATGTATGGAGATCAGTTAGTGTGAACAGGAGGATTTTCTTAAGTTTTCTAGGTAATGGAATATAATAAAGAGTAACCATTTTTCCTATTTTGTTACTAGTATCAAAGGAGTACATGGGAAAAAAATCTTAAAGGGTGGATGTAGAAAGACAGGAAAGGAGAGATGCACATTAAATAAGATACACAGAAAATGTTCGGAGAACTTGGAATAAAGTAAACTTGACATTTGCTTTTTTAAAAAAATAAAACAAAAAAAACCTAGGTAGAAAACAAAAGCAGATTTGTATTATATAAGATTTTTAAGCTGCATTTTCATGCTTTCAAAATTTAAAAAATCTGATTTCACTTAATCGAGTAACAAGAATTAAAGACTTGGAAATGACAAATGGAGGAAGGAAAGTATTTAGAAAAGAAGATAAATTTTGTGACATGATTTATTGTAAGAGACATCACCTGATGTCTCATTAGAGGTATTTGCACTAAACTAAATTGATGTTAAATAAATTTATTTTACAGACTTTTCTCAAACTTATGTCTTTTTTTTTTTTTTAACAGAATCCCATTATGTAGTTCAGGCTGACCTTGAACTCACTATGTAACCCAGACTGTCCTCTAACCCTAGAGGATCCTCCTGCCTCAGCCTCCCAAGTACTGGGATTACAGGTGTGTGACACCATCCCTAGCCTGTCTTTACTTTTTTAATGTGGAGGAAAAAGGAAGAGATGCAAAAGGAAATTTAAAAAATATTGTCACAGCTTCCTCAAATGACAGTTGTTTTGGGCTGTTCACCCTCACCTATTACAATATAGAAATAAAAAAGCAGAATTATGAAATCAGAGCTCTCCCCAGAAATGAAACATAGTGTGAGCTTTTATTTAAATTTCTAGCATTGAAATTGTTAATTTTTATTCCACATAAAACTATAAACAGTAACACTATGTATGAGATACTTGATATGTGCCAAACACTATGTTGTGTCTTAATCTTCAAAACAACATTTTTAAGGGCAGGTATAATTATTATCCCCGTTTTAAAGATGTGGAAACTAAAGCTCTAGAGGTTGGGTCCTATGCCCAAGGCCTGGTGAGTACAGAGCTAGCCCTAAGATCCCGTGGGACTACTCAAAGTCATGGTTCTGTCTTTTCAGCCACTCATTAAAAAAACCCACCTCTATAAGTTTGAGTTTTCCAATCTATGGATTATTAATCCTTTTTTCCCTTTAGGTGCTGAGGATTGAGCCCAAGTGCTAGTGTATACTAAGCTTGTGTTCTACCACTGCATTATACTCCCAGCCAATTCATCCATTTTTTAATTGGACCTTTTGGACAGTTTACTCATTTAAAAATTTTTGTGTTAGCCCTTTCATTCATTTTCCAGGCGACAGTGTTAAAATGTGAAGAGGGTCAAGAGATGGATTGAGTGGGGAAGGAGAGACAGGAAAGGGGATGTAAAAAGAATTTAGATGTGTTATGTACATGTACTAATTCCCCACAATGCATGTAATCTTTATGTACTGCAAACATGAACTAATAAAAAATTTAATCTTTTTTTTTTGGTACCAGGGATGGAACTCGGGTCCTTGTGCTTGCGCAGCAGGCGGCGAAACCACTGAGCTAAATCCCCGGCCCTGTTTAACTCTTTTGACTAAAGATAAGTGTTAGGATTTGATATTCTGGGAGGGGAAGGGGTGAAAGGATTGTATCCACCCATCTTTCCCTCCCACCTGCACCTGAAGCTAGCTCTTGCACTCTATTCTTGGTCAAAAATGGGAGATGAAACACTGTCCAGCATACCCACAGCAGTATAGAAGAAAGAACAGCAGCTGCCAAACCTGCTTCACCAAGTCACACTGCCACTAGTGGTGACCAGGACCAAGGTTTTAACACTTGAGGAGCCTTGAATGGCAGGGCTAAATACAACCACCTTGCCTTGTGTTAGCTAGTGGGTGTGTTTTAACAAGTTCCATAAGTAAGCTTTTACCATTTGATACTTCTCAAATTCAAATGCAGATACCTCTTGACTTATGGAGTTATGTCACCATAACCCCATGGTAAGATAAAAATATTAAGTTAAAATTGCATTCAATACTCCTAATCTAGGGCCAGGATTTAGCTCAGTGGTTCGGCCACCTGCCTTGTAAGCGTAAGGACCTGAGTTCAATCCCCGGTACCAAAAAAAAAAAAATACACCTAATCTATCAAACATTGTAACTTGGCCTAACTTTTCTTAAACATACTCAGAGAACTTACATCAGTTTACAGTTGGGCAAAATTATCTAACACAAACCTATTTTACAATAAAATGTTGAATATCTCATGCAATTTATTGAATATTGTACTGAAACTGAAAAACATGGTAGTGTGGGTAGCTTTCACATGATCAAATTGAAAGCTGTAAGTCAGATCATCATAAGTTGGTGACTATATGAAAACATCTTGAAAATATATAAAAATACTTACAATAGCATGCATGTTTTACTTATCTCTATTCTAGTATTTCTTGGTGCTCAACAGATGGTCACTTTTCCTTGGCTCTAGCTGGAGTGGTTGCTTGTCTGTCACCCCACAGGCTAGGGTTGGGGATGGCTTTCACTGCTGCTGGGCTGGGGCTGTTGCACCTTGTTTTTTTTTTTTTGGTACCAGGGATTGAACTCGGGACCTTGTGCTTGCGAGTCAGGCGGCAAAACCACTGAGCTAAAAGTTGCACCTTGTTGATTTCCTTAACTCTGCTCACTTCCTTCAAAGTCCATTTATACTTCCTAAATGAACATGCCTTTCCTTCCCACCTTAGATGGTACCTGAACAGATATGCATCAAGGTCTAGCCCCTCCAATTTAATCTGCATGCTTTTCCTTCCGCACTCTAGTCTCTGATACAAATGAACCCCCTAGAATCCACCCCCCAACTCTGAACCTTGCATATGCTGTTCTAACAAGACTATTCCATGAAGACTTCCTAGATTTCCTTGCATGTAGGTGTTGTTACTGAGTTTTCCACATTGTATCAATTTTATTCATTTATTTATTTATTTTTTGGGGGGTTACTGAGGATCGAACTCAGAACCTTGCGCTTGTGAGGCAGGTGCCAGAACCACTGAGGTAAATCCCCGGCCCTATTTCGGTATTTTGAAACAAGGTCTCACTATGTAATTCAGGGTGGCCTTAAACTTGGGATAATCCTCCTGCCTCAGCTTCCTAAGTGTTGAGATTACAGGCATGTACCACCTTGCCCAGTTGATTTTATTATTTTTATACTTTTTTCTTCTTTTGCCACATTGTACTTGCCGCTTTGCCTTTTCAAAGCTGAAATTCCTTGAGGCTGAACATTGTGTCTTAATGGTAAGTAGATCTTTGGTGCTTAGTATAATATCTCATGCATGGTAGAACATCATGAAGGAATAACTGAATGGAAACTGAAAATCAATTTTTTTCCTCCATTGGTTCTTCTTCTAGGTTTTCTATACTTGTAGTTTTTCTCTAAATTTAATCAGTTCAAATTGAAATTTCCTTTATTTCAAGTAGTTAAAATTATATTCTTTATTTTTATTTATTTATTTATTTTTTGGTTCTGGGAATCGAACTCGGGTCTTTGCGCTTCCGAGGCAGGTGGCAGAACCACTGAGCTAAATCCCTGGCCCAAAATTATATTCTTTAATTAGTATTTGTATGATAGCATGCTTTTACCACACTGAATACAGCAGGTATGCTCTGGAATGTTCAATAAATTTTATAATTGAAACATTTAAGATTTTAATACAACTTCATTTCTTATTTAAAATTTTAATACAATTTCATTTCTTTATTAGTAACAAAGCTTTTTTCTTTTTTGTATAGCAAACAGTCATTCTCCAAGTTATTTGTTTTGGAAATATTACTTCTTCCTGTATCAGATTTACCTTAAGGTAATTCCAGTTCTCATGGGCTTCCTCAAGATGTGGATGGCATAAAGGACACAGATACCAAGAAGAGCTCACCATCATGGCTTTCCTCACGATAGGCTGCCCTGCTTTCTCCAGGTGTCCTTTTATTGATTTTTTCCTTTTACTCAGGCCAACCTCCCTCTGCCAAGCCAGTTTCTCCCCTACTCTTCACTTTTACTTTCTAGAATAAAGTTTGTCACTGTTTTTTGCTCATTTTGTTCAATTCTTTGCTCCAGATGAGAAGAACCTGGAATCTAACTCCAGAAGGAGAGATGAGCAACCCAGAACCTGCTAATGCTTAATTGGTGAGCCACCTTTGGAAGCAGGCTACCCAGAAACAGAAGGAGGATCACCTTGAGTTCGAGGCCAGCCTGGGCTACATAGTGAGTTCGAGGCCAGCCTGGACTACATACATAGCAAGACCCTGTCTCAAAAAGACCAAATAAATAATAAATGAATAAATAAATGTCTGAATTGGAATTCAAAAAGAAAAGAAGAAAAGTAATTCCGTGTTGTCCCCTAAGACATTATAAGATTTAACTGAAAAGAATCAGTTGACTGTCTTTTTCTTTTTTTCTATGAATAGAACAGTAAGGACAAAGATGAACAGTAGTATTTTTCTTCTGTGCAGTTCCCTTCCATGTTTTGGGCAGTAGAGAAAGGGAGAGGCAAATTTCTCCCCAGTCCCTCGTTTCTCTCCCTCTAGCAGGGTGTTTTCTGTAATTGGCTTTCCACATTTGCCAAGAGTCTGTTTCCTCTTAACATCCAACATGCTTAACAGAAGCCTTGTAATAGTTCCAAAAATGATAAAACCAGACCCAAGAATAAAATGATACACACGACACATTTGTTTTGGCCATAGCTTTGGTTAAGTTCTTTTAAATAATTTAGGGTTAAATGTGGTAGAAATAAAGATGTTTTCTTCACAGTAATAAGACCAAAAAGATGCAGTCAGTGACTCGTGCAGGGTTCAGGGGAGGGGTGAGTTGTCAACACAGAGGCGGGTACAGGACCCTGTGAAAAAGAAGGCACTTCAGTATTGTGGATCCATGTATGTGTATATGTGCCTGTGTGCAGATGTGGGGGTACTTCTGTGTGTGTGTGTGTGCGTGTGTGTTGCTGTGCATTGAACACAGGGCCTTAGACATGCTATGCAAGTGCTCTATTGCTGAGCTGCATTCTCAGCTCTTTATTTTTTGGCTTTGAGACAGGATCTTTCTAAATTGCACAAGCTGGCCTCAAACTTGTGATTCTCCTGCATCAGCCTCCTGAGTGACTGGAATTAGAGGTGTGTTACATTTCCTATAATGCTGTATTCTGAAGGAACAAGAGCTCATCCATCCAGTGTATCCTTAGGGCTGTTCTTAACCAGATGAAATCCATTTCTCACATTGTCAATTATTAAAAGCAACATTAGCTTCTTTTTTTCTTTTTTGCTACTGGGGCTCAAACTGAGGACCTTGTGCTTTTGAGGCAGGTGCAGTGCCACTGAGATAAATCCCTGGCCCAACATTAGCTTCTATTTTACTCTACCCTGTCATCAGTTCTAATACAGTGGTTAAAATGTCCAACAATAAATGTCTGTGCTTTAATAATTACATGTTTGACAAGTGAAAAAAATGCAGGCTTTCTTTAAAGGATACTACTGTTTGTGTGTGTTGTTGTTGTTTTTGGTACCAGGGATCGAACTCGGGACCTTATGCTTGCGAGGCAGGCACCGGAACCACTGAGCTAAATCCCAGTATCCCAAGGATACTACTGTTTAGTTTAGTTTAGTTTTGTTTTTTGTACCTGGGATCGAACTGGGGACGTTACGCTTGTGAGGCAGGCGGCTGCACCACTGAGCTAAATCCCTGGCCCACTGCTCTTTAGCTTTAATATTATTATTATTAAGGCATCTTTAAGTATTCAGTGCGTCTGGACTTAGGAAAAGCGTTTTAATCCTAGAGAGAGGTTAGAGGCAGCGGACAAGCAGGTAACGGAGCTAACAGCAGAGTCTGTGATTTTTTGCAAGCTATTTTAACTGTTTACTCATCAGCAAACTGGAGTCCAGGAAAAGTAAGTAATCCTGCAAAAGGAATATGATCTCCTGTGTCACTGTTACATCTCACATTCCACAACTGGCAGGGTTCTATCTCAGGAAAATTTCATCCTTTCCCAGAATCCATCTGTAAATTATCCCACCATTTTCCCAGACCTGGGTGTGGGAAACCTTTTTGCCATAGGTGTGGTCTGAGGCCAGCAGCATCCATAAGACCAGAGCCTCCAGCCATACCTGGACCCCTGAATCCAAGTCTACATCTTAAGGAGGTCTGCAGGGGGCTAGTGAGCAACCTTTAGCCATAAATCCCCACAGCTTGTACAGTGGGGGCCCCTTGTTACAGTGTGCACACCATTTTAACACATTTCCAGTGGAAAGATCTTGGTAGGGCAGTGCTTTACCACCTCAATGAAAATGAGTAGTTCAAATTGTATTATCCCCATTAAGGTAAACACAGAAAATTTTGATAGAGGAATTATCCTCCAGGGAGTATTGCATTTTAAGTCTATGTTAGTTTCTTAGAGCTATTGTAACAAATTACCACTGACTGAGTGGCTTCAAACCACAGAAATGAGCTCTCATTGTTCTAGAGGCCAGAGCTGGGCTCCCTCAGAGACGCTGGACAGAAGCCTTGATGTGCCTTGGCTCGTCACATCAGCACTCCAGCCTCTGCCTTCATTGTTACATGGTGTCTGCCCCTTTTCCCAGTCACATTGGGTGAAGCCTCACCCTGCCCAGTGTGACATCACCTACAAGGACTTTGTTTCCATATAAGGTCACATTTTGAGGTACTGGGATTAGGATTTAACATACCTTTTTGGCTGACACAGTTTAACCCATAACAAAGTCCTGCACGTGTCCTTATAATAAACCTTCACTCACGGGGAAAAATTAGTAAAACTTAAACACAGACTAGTCACTTCATACAAAAGACTTCATTCAGAGACTGCATCCTCTGTGTTCCACCCCATATGGACCTGACAACCCAGAGGGAAGAATACCTGGCTTCTGGTCCTCAGGAGTTTCAGGTTGGGGAGAGGGGAGGGCACAGAAGCAGAGGGTCCTATAGCTCAAGGCATTCTTGCTCTTCACAACATACTCCAGGGATCTTCATTCCCATTCAGATCCCAGGGCTCTGGAACCTGTGTTTATAACAAGCCCCAAGTGACTCTGACACAGGGAGAAATAGCCTCACTTGCCACCCACTGCCATGGGCATCTGGATACTGGGGAGTTCTCCCCAAACCTCTGCAGCCTGCAACACCTGCCTGAGTGCACCTCAAATGTGCATGCAACTGATCAGAGCTAGGGGAGCCTAGCTGTAGGGAGAGCAATTAAGAGGTTACAGTGATGGGGAAAAAGAACCCTCAATAGTGTCATGAGGGACTCTCTTATTGTTGTAAAGTATATAGCTTAACTCTGAGCCTTTCATGTCAACTAGAAGTGGTTCTTCATTCATCATATATTTGAGTGCAAAGTATGTGTGAAGGACTCTATTCAGTACTTTGGGATTTGGAAATTTGGTTTTAGTTCAAAATACCTACAAATTAAATACTGTGAAATTGATATAGGGTTGCAAATTTTAAGTTTTAATTTGCCAATCATAGACATTTGAAAAAATTTGCCATCATAAAAGAAAATAATTCAATTATTCTTTCTTTTTTTCTCTTGCATTGAGGATGGAACCTAAGGGCGCTCTACCACTGAGCTACATCCCTAGCTGTCTTTAAAGTTTGTTTTATTTTGTTTTGAGATGGTCTTTTTAAGTTCCCAGGCTGGGTTCAAACTTGTGATTCTTTGGCCTCAGCTTCCTCAGTGTTGGGATTACAGGTGTGTATCACCATGACTGACTACTACACTACATTTTATTTTAATGTGGACTTATTCCTTTTTAAATAGGTAATAAAAAGGTAAAAAGTATCACAGGGGAAAGTACATGTCCTTTGCATGGAGGCAACCACCACTGTTACAGAAAAAACAGTTCAACACCAAAAAAAGTGGAAGGACATAATCTTAGAGAAAAATAATTTTTCAAAATAAAAAAGGAACAATTGGGGAAATTTTATGTGTATCTTTTCCCTTCCTTTGTTCATCCATTTATTCATTAGACAAGTATTTTTTTAAACCCCTTCTATGAATGAGATGTTGCAGGTACAGGGAAACCAAACTGAAAATCTCATCGTCTGCCCTCTGGAATTTATGTCCTGTAGGAGCTGAATCTGAAACTGGGGCACCTCATAGAGGGATCCCTGAGCACTGGGAAACCCCCACAGAAACTGAAAGTGAGCCAAGAGTTAACTTGGGTTTGCTACAAAGTAAGTACAAAGAATTCCCCCAAAATTTTAAGTACAAAGAATTCCTCAAAAACTGAAACTAGAAATTCCATTTGACTCAGGTAGTCCCCGTCTAGGTATCTTTCTGAGAGAGTTGAAAACCTCATATTAGAATGATACATGCATGTCCATGTTTATAGCAACACAATTCACAACAGGAAATGGATAAAGAAAATGTGGTGTTTATAACCAATGGAGTTGGTTTTACATATCCTTCTACCATAAAGAAGGATAAACTTGAGTCATCTGTAGGAAAATGGATGAACTTTGAGACCATAATATTAACTGAAGTAAATTAGACACATGAACTTAAATATTGCATAGTTTCTCTTACATGAGAAACAATATATAAATAAAGTGCAAAATAAATGACAGACAATAGAAAAAAGGAGAAAAGGGTTATGCAATACACTGTCTTAGTTACTTCTTCATTGCTGGGACAAAATACCCGACACCCATAAGTTGAAGGAGGAAAAGTTTATTACCTCACAGTTTGTAGAAGTTCCAGTCCATAGTCAGCTGGCTGCAAAGCAGCGGGGAATGGCAAAGGGGCATTGCAGAGATGAAACAGTTCATGGGAGGGCAAGCAAGAAGCAGCAAGCAGCGAGTCTTCCTTTCCCTTTTTATCCTAATCAGGCTACAAGCCTATTGGTTGGTACCACTCACACCTAGTGTGGGCCTTCCCATTAACTACACCTAGAACTATATTAAACCAATCAGTGGAATGACCCAGTTATTATACCCTTAATCCACTGTTACACACCCATGATCCAGCCACCTCCTGAAAGCCCCACCTGTGAGCACAGAAGACTTTGGGGACCATCTCGATATAAGCCACAATGTCCACCATAGACAACATATCTAAAAGTGTGCCTTGGCTTAGAATAATCGTTACGTGTTATACATTTTTTTTACCTGTTAGTTTGGTTGTGAATCTGTGTGTATGATAACTAACTTTATAAGGACTTCTAAGATAAATAAATGAATCTGATGCTGATGCAAAAAGGGGAGGTGGAAAGCAGCTGGATGGAAATTATGCCCATTCTCCCCTAGCTGCAGTTAGGGCTACATCTTCAGAGGGGGAATATTATAGACAGATAAATTAGGTAGAAATATTATATGCAGTCAGACAGGACTAGGCCCTCAAGAGAATCTATACAGAAGATGAAAACACATCAGAATTGTGGCTGGAAGCACATCTAAAGAAGATTAAGGTCACAATTTACAGGTTTACATTATAGTTCCCTAAGGAATAAAGGGAAGCCTAAGATTATTGGTACCACCCTTTTGAGATTTCCTGGTGGGCCGTCCTCTCCCACTCACTAAGGCTACTGAGACTAACACTACTAAGACTAAGACTAAAGACAAGACTACAACTATAGATTATTGACCAAGATTAATGAGTCATCCATAGGCCCTTGCTACTACTGGATCAATATTAGCCAAGTGAAGTAAAAATTCCATCTCCAGAAAGTTACCATATGTGTTA